AGCTGGAAGAGTCCAAACGCTCTTGGGTGTTTTTTTACTTTTTAAATAAAAATAAATGCAATTAACACAATTCAGAACCAACATTCTCGCAATCACATTATTCACACACAAAAGATAAGAAACAATAAGAATAAGAAGAAAAATCCACCACTCCCTCTTTTACTCGAGATGATCATGAGGCCTGACCGACATGAAGAAGGCCGCATACTGCCTAAGCAGCCGATCACTATCACCATTGATCGAACGGCGGCTGACCACACTTCTCGTTCGTATGTTATAACGCCGCCATGCAAGCTGGATGTTGACGGCGGCCCACGTCCTCCAGTTAGACGAGTAATACCTTGCTGTCCGCATCAGCTTCTCGTTGGCAAACTTGTACCTGAAGTGGTCCGTTATGTACTTGAGGTCGTTGGCCTCGAGAGCAAAGGCCTCAGTGGACTCAATGCACGTGAATGTGGCGGACGATGCTGGGAGCCGCTCCATGAACGGCCGCCGCAGGCACCACGACAACAGCTCGTCTCCGAAAAACCCGCCGGCCTCCAGGAGGCTCGTGGCCACCATCCCACGGCTCAGCCTCTGGCTACTTTTCACCCGGCCTCGCACCATGAACACAATACGCGGGACCGGGTCGCCTTCTCGTATAATCTGGTTTATATATCAAGAGAATAATATGCTGTCATATTTTAAAAATTAATGCCATTATCAAAAAATTTTGGGACTTACAGTACAAAAATTCTCGATCGATCAAATCAGTAATTCCAGTGGAATTCAAGAAATCAGTAATATTTGACCAAAATTCATAATCAACAACTTATTACACTCTAGATCTCTATACAAATGACCATAGATAAATAAACGAATACCTTCTCGTCTTTGGAGAAAATGAGAGGCTTGAGGCGATCGCATATGTTATCTAAGATGAGGTCATCCAAGCTATCAAACAGAGGCACCTATAGATACATAAATCCAGTTACTTGAGTGCACATCATAAAAAAAAAGCTTTCACGCAGTACATATGAAAAATCCAAATCGAGGCCTGCAACTTTCACCTTTTTAATTAGATCAAGGCAAAGAAAGCGCTTGATGTCCCGCCTGAGTCCCTCTGGCAAGTCCCGGATTAATTCCATTTCGTCATCACAACCAACGGTGGCCCACCGTTGCCGCTCATAACGCCGTACTCTGTGCCTCAATTGTGAAGGAAGCTGTCTCCGTTTCATCCACCACTCCATGTCTCGGATTCTCAGTTGCATTTTCCTTTTCTTGGCCATCACTGCATGCAGAAACACCTATTCTTGCAAGAATCAATGGTTGAATATGATATGTTAGACATTAATATCGAGTAGACATGTACCAAATGGTTTATTATGCGAATCTATACTGACCTGAATGTTACCGATTAACAGAGTGAACAATAGTAGACCACTCAGCACGGTGGATATACTGAACATTACTTCCAACCAGTTACTCGTTGGTTCCAGGTCATTGCCAAAGGTGCTGCAAGACAAAATACAAAAATTACACAGCAAGTTGTGGAATCAGACATCTAAAGCACTAGTCGAAATTTGACAATTCAAATTGCTTTTATATGTTAAAAGCTAAGAATAAGACTTCCAAAAAAAAAAAAAAAACCTTTTAATGGTATTCTTACCTTAGGGTCATCAATCCCCAGAAAATCGGATAGAGAATCTTGACAGCCACAGAGTTGCTCGACACAACAGGCAAAGCCCATTTGTATATTCCATAACGGAAAGGACCATTAACGTCCAGACACATCGGCTTTCTGACCACAACCGTCGAGTTCCTGCCACACGGGTTGCCCAAAGTGTCGGATGGCAAAAGAAACTGATAGCAGACCTCCTCCGAGCACGAAAGAGACAGGTTACAACTACCATTTAAGGCACACTGTTGTTTGAGACAAGAAGCCACACGCTGTATTGCAAGAACATACCAGCATCCACCAGCAACCTGTGCACATGGATATCATGAAATCCATAATAAGCATAACAGTGCCCTGAGGTTCGTCATCACAGTTCACTACAACTATCTTTTACTGCTACAATGCCATGGTGGTATCTTGTGGATATTTGTTAATATTTGTCTTAACAACTGCAGCAGTTGGTGGATTAATTCGATGAATTTGCACAAGATAATCAACAAAATAAGGTAATGTTCCCAGAAAACATCCTATTATCCAACTTTTGAAGGTCCCACTTATCCCCTTGCCCTCCACAAGACTTCATCTAAGGACCGAAGTTCGTAAAGTAGAAACAAATAACCATGGCGCACTCATATAGCTGAGACAAGAACGGAGATGGAGTTGGGAAGACACTTACATGGGAAGCTATGAAGTAGGCGATGAGATTAAGGCCAAAACCCCACCAAATGGTGCCGAATATATAACCGGTCACCTTTTGCATTCTTCTCATTAGGTATATGCTGTGATAGACCTTCGGTAGGAATTGGAACATGAAGATTATCAGTAAAATTGTCATGATAAGCTTTATTTGTTCCTCCTTTATCAATTTTGGCAATATTAACCAGAACACAGCCTGCATACAAAACAAGTCATATTACCCAATAAAGCTGAAAATAAAAATTTAGTCATCTATCTAACAAAGCATAAATTTCATAGCATAAATAAAGTTTTGGGATTAATTAATTAATCAATTAATTGTGAAAAGAAGAAAAAAGCGAACCTGAGGGACGGGGAGAATGACGAAGACATCAAACCAGAAGCCCTTGACGGAGCGCAGGTAATGGGCGGCGATGGCGCGTGGGTCCCACACCAGCTTCCCGCAGCCCACGACCAGCGACTCCCTGGACACGTAGGCCAGCCTGAGCTGCAGCCACAGGTGGCACAGGTGCACCGCATCCAGGCACGTCCGGAGCACCGTCACCACCGCCGCCAGCCCGCCGTCCATGTACAGGCACGGCGACCCGCCTCGCCCGATCGACAGCGCGTAGAAGAAGAGGGGGTCCACCGCCAGCGCCATCCCACGCGCCAGCAGGAACGCGCGGTTCCACCTCTGCACGCGCTTCGTCCGCGGGTCCAGGACCGGCGGCCGCCGCCCGTCGCCGCCGGATCCGGCCTTCGGGCGCCCGATCCGGTTCTTTATGGGGAGAAGGGACGAGCCTGCCGAGGCCTCCCACTCCGGCTGGTCGGTGTTGTCGCAGCTGGTGGAGTGGAAGACCGGGACCCCCACCTGGGTGCACACGTGGCACTCGCCCCCCGAGAACGAGAACTGATTGTCATCGCCGTCGACGCCGCCGTTGTCTGGCCGGACCGAATCTCGCCGGCGTAAGCCAAACCACCTGAGGTGCACATACGCCGTCGCCCAAGTTAGTAACTGTATTATACCGTTCTTCTATTTTATACATTTTCAATTTGTAAAAAAATTAATAAAAGTTTGCAAAAACTTTACAAGAATTGTTTAA